ATAATAGTATAAGTATTAATTATAGTATAACTTAAATATTTTAGATCATAGTGCAATTAAATAACTTTGTAAAATGTTTATATATAATTTATTAAATAATATAATGTTAAATACAACAACATGTCCACGTGCAAAGCAGGTGTATTATACTAGTAGTATTAAAATAAACATTGAGTTGTTATCTACTATTAAAATATACAAAATCTTTATTAGTATGAAATAGAAAAGTGCACGAAGAATTTTAATCATACAAATATGGGAGGATGGCTTATATTGCCTGCAGACCTCGATTTCATGTACTCTAAATCCGATTTTTTTTTTTTTGATTTGTATTTGCAATCCCTTGTAGTTGTCTAGTCTATTTTTTTTGGTCAATGAATTAAACTTTTATTCATCTCTCAAATGTGAAGTATATATACATCAAAGTTACCAGAGCTTAGTCTGGGATTCAACAGATCATAACAATATCAACAGCTTTACAAGTGTTCAAAATTTTCACTTATACCAGGAATACTATCATTCAAATTGTCTAGTCTATTTTGTGTACTCTAAAATTTAATATTTCATGTACTCTAAGTCCTAAAATTAAAGTAAACATAACAACAAGAAAATAAGAAAAGAAAATTCTAGAAGTAATATAAATCAGGAATTGGAGTATGAGCAGCGGATTTGGGCACCTGCAAAATCAAACAAAACAAGTTTTCATTACCATCAAAAGAAAAAAAATATATAAAAAATTAAAGTATAACAAAAACAAATCATTCTCTATCCTCCTTACTCATCTTTATACATATTAGTGAGAGTTAGCGAAGGGAGGTTATAGGTTGGGTAGTTAATTGAAAAATGCTAATAGCTTCGCTATTCTAAAATATATAAGATCTCGTTTGGTACGCGAGAATGGATAGGAATGGAATGAGTATTCTCACTTCTCATTCATGCCTAGCAAATCGTAATATCTTTTTGAAAGTTAGAATGTTTATTCTCACTTCTCCTCCGTTCCCATTTTCTTTGGGAATGGGCATCCCCAATGAGTTGGTAGGGAATGAGTATTTTCATTTAAATGAGAATGAAGAATTGAATTAACTATCAAATATGCCATAATTGTTTATTAAATATTCATATTAAAATTTAAAAAGAGATTTTCATTCCCACTTCTTTCTCTAATCTCACTCAAACATGAGAATGGAAATGAATATTCCATTCCCACACTTATTTCATTCCATTCATTGCTTCATTCCATTCTCACTTCATTCGGTTTCCGTGTACCAAACCAGACGTAAGGTCTTTGCTGTGATACTCTGTAATTGGATTTTTATTTAATTTTTAAATTGCAAAAAGTTTGGAAATAGGCTGGAAAAATGGGAACCTTCATTATTATAGTTGTTACCTATCATGCCCCCCCAAAAAACCGTTCTCATCAATCTCTCTCCTTTTCCGCCATTTGTATTCTCTCTCTTTCTCTAGCCTTAGTCATTCTTAAACCTCCTCACGTACTTCGCTCCATCTTGAAGAAGAAGAGAAATCTGTTGGATTTAAATCTAATTAAATCTATTTGTGGGCACATATGATTAATCTATGTGTATTGCTATCCTTCAGGATAACCCACTAAAGTGATCAATCAATTTGGGTTAATGAGTATTTAAATATAATCATGGGGTTATATGTGCAGATACCAGGTTGTAATTGTGATTTGATGATGGGCCAAATTACAAATGTACAACATCTATAAATAAAGGGTTATGGTCCCTAATCTAGGGTTACATTCTCTAATTCTCTTCACCCCCATCTAGAGAGAAATTTGGCTAGAGAAACCCTAAGGTTAGAAGATCCAAAACCCATCTTAAGTTTAATCTATGGATTCAGGTATAAGCTTTCGCTCTTTTCTTTTGATTCTTGTAAATCTCTTTGAATTAATTATGGCTTTATGGTTTAGATCTCAAGTTTTTATTAGATCTAACAAGTGGTATCATAGCCACCTTGATTTGTTCTAAGAGATTAAGATTAAAATTAGGGTTTTTGATCTTAATTGTTTTGGATTCAGTTTTTGTTCACGGATGAATAATTGTTGGATTTAAATCTAATTAAATCTATTTGTGGGCACATATGATTAATCTATGTGTATTGCTATCCTTCAGGATAACCCACTAAAGTGATCAATCAATTTGGTTTAATGGGTATTTAAATATAATCATGGGGTTATATGTGCAGATACCAGGTTGCAATTGTGATTTGATGAGGGGCCAAATTATAAATGTACAACATCTATAAATAAGGGGTTATGATCCCTAATCTAGGGTTACATTCTCTAATTCTCTTCACCCCCATCTAGAGAGAAATTTGGCTAGAGAAACCCTAAGGTTAGAAGATCCAAAACTCATCTCAAGTTTAATATATGGATTCAGGTATAAGCTTCTGCTCTTTTCTTTTGATTCTTATAAATCTCTTTGAATTAATCATGGCTTTATGGTTTAGATCTCAAGTTTTTATTAGATCTAACAAAATCCCTTTTTATTGCTCCAACCCCCTCACAAATAAAATTTATAAAAAGCGCAAATAATCTAAATATCTTTCATATTTCCCTCCCTCGTGAAAGTAAATGCTCTATTCAACATTAATTCAAAATTTTGAAAGCGAAAAAAAATAGAAGTATCCATAAGGGAAAAAATATCGTGGAATTATAATCATATAAAGAAGTTATTTTTATTTTTTAAAAACGTAGAAAAGCTGGATGATCTAGAAATCTAATCTTTTTCCTACATGCTCTATCCAGTGTCTCAAAATTAGTCGCTACAACTTAATTATTTTCCTTAGATTTCTAAACTACCCTTGTTATTAAATTATCAATTCAACTTATTTACCCATTTATCCAATGAAACATGGTTTAAAAGTTCCCATATGGAGAGCTATAAACTCAGAAGCATAATTACTTATGATGCCATCGGTACACCAAAGAGATTTAACATGGTTTAAAAGTTCCCATTTTCTGGGAGATACATTTTAGAATCCAGTTAACTGGAGACTTGGTGTTTCAGTATTTCAATATGTTGAACATCATTAATTCTGTTTCTTTTAATGATTATGAAGACAAAAGAGAATGGTTATGGGAAGCTAATAAATTTTTTTCAGTGAAGTCTTTTTATCACTTCCTTATTGATGGGGGTCTAAGATTTGATTGTTCAAACTTATGGGAGCTTACTATTCCTTTAAAGGTCAAATTTGTTGTTTGGCTGGCTCTAAGAAATGGTTTGAATACTACAGATATTTTAGCTAAAAAGGGAATTATCTTGCAGAGAACATGTTGTTTGTGTACTAAATCAGATGAAGATCATTCTCATTTGTTCCTGAAATGTGAGTTTGTGTACTCTATTTGGAGATCACTTCAATTCAAGTTGAATACTGACAAAGATTTTAGTTTGTCTTCTGTGAAAGAAGTTTGGATACAGTGGACTAGTGGATACAAGGGAGACTCTAATTTGAAGAGAAGAGTTTTCATTTGCTCTCTTATATGGTGTCTTTGGCAGGAGCGTAATGACAGAATATTTTCTGATAAGAAGAAGAGCTCTCTTACCCTCTTGAACAAAATTGTAACTTTCTCAACATTTTGGCTAGGATCTGAGGGGATCTCTGCTCGTGCCGCCAGATTACAAGCAAGAAGAAGAAAAAGAGCTGCTGCTGCTAAAGGTGTTGATTTTGGGAGCAAGGACACGGCTACAGTGATTCAATTGGAATGATCTGTTCATATTCACTGGAGTTGCTCTTGGTTTTGTTGGATAGAAGCTCTGTTCTTCTGTTTTGTTTTTTTGGTTCTTCTGACAAACTTGTTATATCAGTTTTTTGGGGGAGGTTATGTCCGTTTTTCAGTTGTTTACGGGGGGTAGGGGTATACTATTTGTAGTACCCTCTTTTGAACTCTAGCGCATACTCTTGGTTGGGAGTATGGGCTTTTTGTAACAACCACTTTATCTTTTAATTTAGCTGGCTGGAATACCTTTGGGGTATTCCATCCTTATTCTCAAAAAAAAAAAAGTTCCCATTTTCCTACACGCTCTCTCCGTGGCAGAAAATTTGTATGCCATGAACAACCAAGTTCCGAACCCACATTCGTAAGTATTCACTTTTTCAAGGACAAGTATTAACTTGACTAACTAACTTTCTTATCTTCTTCACTTTTTCAAGTAACCCATCGCCGGTCATTTAGCCATCAACGCATGCCGTTGTTTGTCAGTGAAGATCGATCATGCCTAAAAATCATCATTGATAATCTATCTCCTGTTCTATGTCTCGTATATTCTTTCTTTTTCCGGTCAAAATGAAAACTAATATTTTGCTACTGATCCAATTGTTCACCCCACTCTCCTTCCATGGTTGTATCTATTGAAATTAAACTTGATTATGGATCAAGCTTAATTTTGGGTTTATGATGGAATTATTCTAAGTTTGACCAAACCCAAAATTAGGTCCAAATTCTAGAGGTTTTCTAGAAACACTCTAGAAGGTTGATCACCTCCTTAAAGTGTTCTAGAGAAACCTTTAAGCTAAATATCTAGATAATAATATAGAAGCATCTAGATAATTTGTGATAAAAATATTTAGATATTATGTAGAAATTTCTAGAGATTAGAAAAATATCTAGGAACTATGGAGGTGATATTAGAAGAATTTAGATCATTTGTAACATATCTTTGGGAGGCTATAAATACCTCCTCACCTCTCTCATTTGTAAGTAAGAAGAAAAAGTTGAACAAGTGAATAAAGCAAGTTCAAATAAAGAGTCTTCCTCTTCATAAGTCCTCTACATTTCTCTAAAAGTCTTTCATATTCTTCTTCATACTTAGAGGTTTATTCTCTTGGTTTCTTTCGGGTTTCTCGGGTATTACGGTCTTGGGCTAGTGCTAAGCATTATCGGTGTTATCTTTACATGGTATCAGAGCCATTCTAATCTTGTGCTCTTCAAGATCGGAGTTTAAAGAGAGCTCGGGTTTACTCTAAGTATGGAATCAATGGGTCGTGTCGTTGGATTGAGAATGGAGATCTTAAACCAATCTAACTACCGGTTATGGAAGTCATGTATGGAGTCATACTTGGTTAGTGAGGACTTATGGGATGTCATCAGCAGTAGCAGCACACCACCACCAAGGGGAGATGCTGCAACAGCGGAAGCGACAAAGGAGTGGACACGGAAGAATGCTAAGGCGGAGTTTGCTTTGAAGAGGTCAATATCTTCAGGACTATTTGAGCATGTCTCAAGATGTACATCCGCAAGTGCTATTTGGAAGGCACTAGATCAATTGTTCAACAAGAAGAACGAGGCTCGTCTACAACTGTTAGAGAACGAGTTGGCGAATGCGAAGCAGGGGGAGTCTTCAATCTCAGAGTTTTTCATCAAGGTAAAAAATCTTTGCTCTGAGATTAATACTCTCAATCCGGAGGAGTCGATTTCGGAAGCACGGTTGAAGCGGTCTATTATTCGTGGTCTACGACCCGAATATACACTGTTTGTTACTTCAGTTCAAGGATGAGCTACACAACCTTCCTTGGAGGAGTTTGAAAATCTACTAGCTTCGTAAGAATCACTAGCCATGCAAATGGCGGGAGTTAAAGTCCATGATGACTCGGGGAGCGCTTTTGTAGCGGGGAGACAACAAAGCTTCAGAGCCAAACCCAAATATGGTAATGTGAAGAATAATGATGGACGAGAAGGGTCTTCTACGGGAAACAAGAAGCGATTCAAGTGTTATCGGTGTGAAAAACTTGGGCATTTCAAAAAGGATTGTCGAGTCAAGCTGAAGGAAACAAATATGACGGAATCAAAGGGTCATACTGAAAACAAAGAATGGGGAAAATGTTTCACGGTGGAGGCTGCATCTTCAGGTACATCCACAGCTAAAAATCTTGGAAATGATTGGATTGCCGATTCTGGTTGTAGCCATCATATTACCGGAGACGAGAAGTTATTTTCTAGTCTTCAGCGTCATGACGGGAAAGAAGCCATCATTACTGCGGATAATTCAATCCACCGCGTTGAGAAGGAAGGGACAGTCGTTATTGAAGGATATGATGGAAGCCTAATCACTCTCAAGAACGTATATCATGTTCCTGGAGTAAGGAAGAATCTTCTCTCTGTGGTGAATGCGGTTGACTCAGGTAACTACGTTTTATTTGGCCCAAGAGACATTAAATTCTTAAAGAATATTAAAGAATTAAAAGCGGACGTGGTTCACACCGGAGCATGGGTTAAGGATTTATATGTTTTATCGGCCTCAAATTCTTATGTTGAGAAGATGAGTACGAATGATAATGCCTTTATATGGCATGCTAGGCTTGGTCATATAAATATGACTAAGCTAAAGGTTATGGTGAATAAGGATTTGGTTAACGGGCTCCCAAAGTTGAAGATTCATGATGAAGGAAAGCTTTGTGAAGGCTGTCAATATGGAAAGTCACATAGGCTTCCATTTGACAACTTCACTTCACGATGCAGCGCTCCGTTGGAGAGGGTCCATAATGATTTGATGGGTCCGACGAGAACATCCTCCTATTCTGGGTTTCGGTACATGTTACTGTTTGTTGATGACTTCTCACGGTACACTTGGGTATACTTTGTGAAGGAAAAATCAGAAGTATTCTCCAAGTTTCAAGAATTCAAGGTTACCGTGGAGGGAGAATTAGGTCAGAAGATCAAGACTTTAAGGACGGATAATGGAGGGGAGTTCATGTCAAAGGAGTTTCTCTCTTTTTGCCAAAAACATGGTATCAAGAGAGAATTTACATGTCCGTATACACCTCAGCAAAATGGAGTAGCAGAAAGGAAAATAAGATATCTAAGCGAGACATGTAGAAGCTGGTTACATGACAAAAATTTGCCTAAGGCCTTATGGGCGGAAGGCATGAGATGTGCAGCGTATGTCATCAACCGGATGCCACTTAGTCCGAACAATATGAAGTCTCCTTATGAGATGGTTCATGGGAAGAAGCTAACGGTGAAACATCTCAGGATATTTGGATCAATCTGCTACGTCCACGTGTTTGACTCTCAAAGAACCAAGTTGGAGGCAAAGGCGAAGAAATGCATCTTTGTCGGCTATGATGAACAAAGGAAGGGCTGGAGGTGTATGGATCCAGAGACACACAGGTACACCGTGTCTCGTGATGTTGTCTTTGATGAAGTTTCCTCATTTTATGGGCCACCTCAAGTCTTGGTCGAACAAGAAGGTGGGGGTTCCTCCAAGATCGATGAACCAGTTGTTCAAATGCCAAGTGAAAGCGGAAGTCTTAAAGAAGAGACGCAAGGTGAAAGGGGGAGCACTGATCAAGAGGAAGATGAGGAAGAAGATCGTAGTTCCATGGCTAATCAACGGCCAAAAAGGAACATTGTTAAGCCTGCTCGGTTCAGAGATGAAAGGTTTGTCACTACTTACTCATAATACTTTGCAGCTCTATTAGATGAATAGGAGCCATCATCGTATGATGAAGCAAAAGGAGTTCAAGAGTGGGAGGGCGCAATGAAGGAGGAGATGAATGCTCTCATGAAGAACGAAACTTGGGATTTGGTTCCAAAACCTAAGGATGTCCAACCCGTTTCTTGTAAATGGGTGTACCGAATTAAGCGAAAAACGGATGGGAGCATTGACAGATTTAAGGCAAGGTTGGTTGCTCGAGGGTTCTCTTAAAAATATGGAGAAGATTATGATGAAACTTTCAGTCCAGTGGCAAAGATGACTACGGTACGCTCACTTGATGGAACAAGTCACTACCAAAAGAAGAAGGTGCTTGATGGAACAATTGAAGCTTTGGAGGTTCGAAGCGAAGATAACGTTGTAGATATCTTCACCAAGTCACTATCAAAAGGCCAATTTGAGTTACTTCGCTCGAAGCTCGGGATGGTTGACAAAATCAAGTTTAAGGGGGAGTATTGAAATTAAACTTGATTTTGGATCAAGCTTAATTTTGGGTTTATGATGGAATTATTCTAAGTTTGACTAAACCCAAAATTAGGTCCAAATTCTAGAGGTTTTCTAGAAACATTCTAGAAGGTTGATCACCTCCTTAAAGTGTTCTAGAGAAATCTTTAAGCTAAATATCTAGATAATAGTATAGAAACATCTAGATAATTTGTGATAAAAATATTTAGATATTATGTAAAAATTTCTAGAGATTAGAAAAATATCTAAGAACTATGGAGGTGATATTAAAAGAATCTAGATCCTTTGTAACATATCTTTGGGAGGTTATAAATACCTCCTCACCTCTCTCATTTGTAAGTAAGAAGAAAAAGTTGAACAAGTGAATAAAGCAAGTTCAAATAAAAAGTCTTCCTCTTCATAAGTCATCTACATTTCTCAAAAAGTCTTTCATATTCTTCTTCATACTTAGAGGTTTATTCTCTTGGTTTCTTTCGGGTTTCTCGGGTATTACGGTCTTGGGCTAGTGCTAAGCACTATCGGTGTTATCTTTACAGTATCAAATGCTTATTGTGATCGACGTTCAGCCAGCCCTAAATTTCTTCACTGGTCAAGATTCTTTGGCGAGTACTGCGATCTCGATCGTGAGATCGTCTCCGTCAGGTGCTGGTCGAGGCTGAGGACTTCCGTCTTTGTCGTCGCGGGCAAGGTGGACTTGTATGTGGAAAACTCAGCTATGAAGTTTGAGGTGTCCGCGGCAATTTCATCCGATTTGCAGATGAACTCTTGATCATTGTCCTGAATTCGATGCTTCGCCATCACTTGTTTTTTGGCCCCCTAGAAACCAAGTGAGACTATTTGTCATTTTGAGCTAGTATTAAGCCCGCATGTTGCTGCAAATAATAATTACCGATGTATATCTGTTACCAAATTAATAATATAGTTTTTATATATGACTATTTATAGAAAATTTCAGCAATAAATTTTTAATCCATCCAACCAAACTGCCTACAGAAAGTCTGCAAGTTAATTCTATCTTATTCATGTTCTGCATTTTTTTAAATAGGAAGTGGTAAATATTGGATTAGGATTGGTGAGGAAGAAGACAATTGGGGAAGTACACTTTTGCTCTTTAAATGAAAACTAAATAAAAATCATTTTTTGGAGTACCAAAGCAAGCCTCTTGAAAAATTGATGGCAATTAGTAGGGAAATTTATGAAAATTGAATATGTATATATGTATGTATTTGGTTTGAAGGGTATGGTTTATGTATATTTTACGTACGTAGGTGTGCATGTGTTTTAGAGCGCATTTTTGTAAGAAAATATTTTAACATATAGTACAATTTTATAATAGCATATAAAATAAAAGATGGTGAAGTTCTATTCCAAATATTCTAGATTTTTCAACGACAATTCAACATTGCAAGAACCATTATGTATAATGCTGCTGATTTTCAAGCATGTGTATTGTTTCTTTGTGTGATGTAATTTATTTATTTTTAATGAAAACTGTCTAGTTAGCAAATATTGGCTATCTCTATGCATGCCTTTTAAGTTATTGGTACCAAAAATATTAAGTGAAAAAAAAAACCAGAACTTTGATAATGTCTTCAGCCAAATTCAAACAAGAGACAAAAGCAATACTACACAAGAACTGAATCCAACCGTATCTGATCATATATATATATACATGTACAAAGTTCAAGCTGAAAAAAACTACAAGCCTCTCTCTTCAACTACTAACTCATAAATACTGTCCTATAATAACTCTAAAAATATTCAAACGAAAATAAGCAGAGAAAAAAGAGTGAAAAAGAATCTACCCTCTCAAGCCACAGTGTCTACTGGGCCCCCATTAGGCGTGTGCTCTGTACAGTGTCCTCTTCCTACCGAACCAATAAGGACCAGCCAACGAATAACCAATGATCCAAAATAAAATCATATAGAGTGGTGTTAGGGGCACACCATCCATCACAACTCCAACCACACTCCCCCCCCTCTTAATGCTACAGTAAACCGGACCCCACATCAGATTTAAAAAAAATTAAAATCCCATGTGAGGCCCGGTTTACTGTAGTAATGAGAGGGGGAGTGTGGTTGGGGTTGTGATGGGTGGTGTGTCTCTAACATTATTTAATCAGTTCGGCTTTAAAATACTAATTTTTTTAAATAAATAAACAAATCCCCATTTCAGCTCAGCTCTTTCCCCACTCCCTGTCATCTTCTCGTCACCTCCCCCGCCTCCAAGATTCCCAAACTAGCCGTCCATAATTGCCCATTGAGTGGCACATGGGCAATATTGCGGGCCGCCCGCTAGTGGGCCCCACGGATCAGAAACCACGTGAGCCCAATGGCAACAGGCCATAGCACAAATGGGCTTGCCACCTGTGCTCTTGGGCTCGACCCGCCTATAAGGGGGGGGGCGGGAACGTCATCTCCGCCGAGAAATACCATCGTGCTGTTTATCAACGGCAGTGCTGCCTGGGGGTTGCCGCCGTTATTATTGTTTCCGCTGTTGCTGTTGCTATTTTCTCCTGATTTCTGACTGCATTAAAACAAAATTGACACATTTATTTACTTATAAACTAAGACGCGAATTTTAGAATATATTAAATCTAAGTGGACTAGTAGCTTCATCCCTTTATATTTATTTATTTTTTTAAAAATTTGCTATAAGATGCGTGTTGACATGTGATACCGGTATAAATCTCAAAGCAAATTTAAAAGATGAAAAATTGGCTGACAAATTCCTTGGTCAATTTTAATTTACTGGAGTGGATTAATAGCTGACCTCGTTGTACCGGGACAGAAAGTGATCAAGTAATTAGCATTAGTACACGTAAACGTAGACGTAGCATCATCGTACGCGTAGCTATACGCTCTCGGGCAAGCATTCTTAAAGAACTGCGAATACTGCGTAGGCTTACACGTATTCGGGTTCCCATACGCTCCGCTACAACAATACTCGGGCGACCCGAACGCCTCACAAGCGCTTCTGCAAGCGACCCCGTCCCCATCCGACTCCGTCACTTTAAGATCCGACGGGCACAACCCGTTAAGATCCACTAAGCAACCGGTAGAGCTACAATTACCCGACCCGCTTTGAGGAACCACGAGCATTGGTAGATTATACCCGTCAACGAGGCTGACGTCATAGAAGTCTTTGCCGTCGCTGCCGTTGAGGGTGAACTCCGCGAGGGTGGCCGGAGGGGCAGCGCCGCTGCCGGAGCATTGGACGGTGGACGACCCGCAATCGCCGGTCGCACAGGTGAATTTGCCGGTTGCGTCGGTGGAGCAGAGCGTGCGGCCCCAGAAGCGACCGGACCAGCCGGTGGGCACCGGTATTGACTGGGATTCGCCGGTTTGGAGGGCGAAGCCGGTGGTGGAAGAGTGGGGCCGGTGGCCGGCGCCGGAGAGAACTCCCGGCCAGACTGTGTAGTGACAGTTGTTCGTCACGGTGAACGTGGCTGCGGAAACTGCCGAAAATAGGAAAGAAATGTGAATAATCAAGAAAATGAGAGGATGGAATGTTGCCATTGTTAGCTCTAAAAATGGAACGTTGGGGATTTTTTTGGGGATGGGGAGGTTTAGTATTTATAGAGGGGATTAAGGATAATGGGGTCCAATGATATTGTTGAGATTTTGTTTTGGGTTAGTATAATAATGTGAGGTTAATGACGGTTGGTTTGATTTATATTTGGGTTCAGGTGAATTTTTGAAGAAAATGGCTCTTGGGAGGTACGGAGTAATAAGTTGGCATCTATGAGGGTGCCGTGTGAATTTTGTATTTGCCCTCTGCTGCTGCAATTTGCATTTTAAATAAAGCGTTTAATTTTACAGAGGACTACTTATGTAATATTCATATGTTGTCGACGGAATATGTAAGTTTCAGCAGCCCGTTGAACTCCATAGTGACACGTGGGTAATTGGCGTTCGTGATTCGCGCAACAGATAGCGTCCCAAAGAACAGAACGGAACGGAAATAACCGAGAAGCTTGCACTGCTTTGGTTTGTGAATCAAGCTTCGTAGAGTTAGGTTACTAGGTTGAATCCAAATTGGGTGACTCGACTCGGTCAATTTGTTTGGTTTGGGTGAGAACCAACGATGAAAATGATGCAATTAGGTCCAACTGCATGTAGACGAATTAGGGTAATTTTGGTAAGAAGGGGAAATGGGATTGGAGTTGGTGAACTTATTGTAATCTTTATAATGATTGATGAGTTTAGAAGTTAGAAGAGTCCCTAGGGACAAGGAATGAGTAATGATGCAAGATTTTCGTTTGTTTCTGGTCTTATGGAATTATATGTCCAAATTTGGTAGGATTTTTTTTCTTGATTCATGATAGTTATGGTGTTTTCAGTTGTCAAATTATAACCCTTTGCCAACAACCGACAAACATCACCCGTCACGCACCATTCAGTCAACTCGACACTTAGGACAGCTAGAGTCTCGACCTACCCGACTCGTCGAGTCAACATCTCGCTAGGTCGACTCGACTGGCGATACTTGTCGGTCCTCTCATCAAAGACGACTCGCTACGAGCCCACACAACCGGTTAATTAGCTGGCGTCTCGCTGGGTTGGCTCGAAAGGCGTTACTTTTCGACACCCCTCAATAAAAGTCAAAAGACAACTTTGACATCGAACCCCCCGCTGACAGCACGTCGACATCACATTAAATGTTTGGAAGACGCCATCATTTCTCTATTCCCGGCACTATTTATGATACATCGGACCACGCCGGCTTCGTGCGCCGTCTATCTCATCTCATTAATGCCGAAGTGACAACGCCCATTCCGTGACCACTCCATAGCTGATACGCGTAAATTAATTCGACGCTAACTCAGCCACCAGCTCAGACTCGATATGAAAAGACTAAAATGCCCCTCCTGCATGGTTATAAGAGGGACAACTATTCCTAATGCGAAGGTAAGCGATTTCTCAAAAATTTTCTCCATTATACTGCACTAGAATCACACAGTTTACCACTTTCCCACTCAATTACATCACTGACTTAATCGTCGAAGAAACAACGAGGTAACTAGTCACCATCCTCTTACGGGTTGTTACACGTGGGGAAGAAGTAGCTCAACTCAAAACCAGATATTTGGAGAAGTTAGCGGCCCCTATTCAATCTCACCCCTAATACATCATCTGTGTGATTATCATCATCAACAGTGGTGACCGTCTTGTTTGGTGTTGTAAGACTTGTTTTGGATGTATCCTATTTTTGGTAACTTCCAAGCACCAGAGGAAATTAGAGTAACTACGGCACTTAGTTATCAAGATTTTTTTTTCTTCTGTTGGGGCAATTAAAAGAGTCTATATTAATGGACTGTTAGGCTTGGAACTATTTGAGCAGAGATTAGAGGTATGTTGAAGATCTTAAGAGCCAAAATTTAATTATATCATTTTCAAGAATCAAATATGTATTTGGTCCGCGGGTGCTCTGGAAGTCAATATAGGTCCTACCAACTTAGGTTCGACTCCAACTTGGGTTATCTACCCGAGAAAAAACGGCCATCGATCTGGTGGTAAAATGTTTGTTGTGCATAGAATCTCTTCAACGAAGAAGTCACAACATACAAATGAAGTTTGCACAATACATAAGCTTAATATGTGAGAAATCAAAACCAAGTACTATTCTGTGTTCTCCGATAAAAAGATGCGGCAATGACTTAATTAATCAATTTTATTATCGATCTGACTGCTAAGTACGCTGAACTTAGGCCGCCGCCGCTTAATCCTAGCAAGTCCAACACAGAATATCACTTAGCTTTTTATTCGATTGAGACTAGCTTATGTAAACTTAGTCTAGATTCATCACTCAAAGCGTGAATTTTGGACTAAAAACATGTTTTTACTAAACTAAATCAGAAAAGGTGGCTCTGACCATTTTATTCCTGCTCCATATATTTTAGTTAGGAGTAAAAGAACACGGGGTATGTTTTCCCTTTCAATCAGCATCAATTCATTGCTAGCAGCCACCATGAGGTGTATATTACGTAGAATTGAAGAAGTTGATGATACAGAAAATTCCTCATTGAAATAGATAGTACTTAGACTAACATGGAGTCTAATTAAATGAGCATGTGCATGGGTTTAACACGCAATACTTCTTTTCAAATGATATATATCGAACTTCTATGTCTACTAGTAGTAGATCATGCTAGTCGAACTAGTGACATCATTGCTTTTTAGTACTCGAGGCGTTCATTCTTACTTGCATGATTTAATAACGATTGGCACTATAGGCACACCCTCAACCACACCTTGGGGCACACCCCATCTTTCAGCTACAGTGCACGGGGCTTATTTTAGATTTTTTTAAAAAAAATCTAAAATGGGCCCCGTGCACTATAGCTAAGAGAGTGAGTGTGCCCCAAGGCGTGGTTGGGGGTGTGCCTGTAGTGTTTTCCTTTAATAACAATGCACGAATCTCACAACCATACTAGAACCTAAGTCGAGGTTCACATTAGGGGCATGTGCTTGTCCTAGGAAATTGCCAAGCTTGATAATCTCTATCCTATTCAGTTCACTTTAGTGCGTGCTCGGTATCGTTACAACGAAGAGAGAAAAGTGATGGTGTCTAAGGGAACAACTATTTGAAGTTATCGGAAATTTGAGCTAATGACAATGCTCATTAATTTTCCTAATGTACATGGCATAGTCGGATGCCAATTATTTTATATAATTAAAAAAAAGAAAAAGTGAGAAGTTAGTATTTTATGTTTTGTTTAAGTCTAACTTACAAATTAATCAGAAAGTTGAGTTTCATGGGATTAAAGATTTAATTACATATTTATTTATTTATTTTCTATCAAGCTTAACTTGGGGAATGTAGGATAAATGGAAACGCAATATTGAAACGCAATATTTGCTTTTCAAATTTATTCTTTTAAAAGTTCTGATTCACTTTTCATTTACGTATATGCATCTAGAAATGCCTAAATATTCACCTTTTTGAAAGGCAATATTGACAGGGCCGGCCCTAGCATAAGGCAACTAAGGCCTCTGCCTTGGGCCCCAAGTTGGATAAGATCCACCCACCCATATATATAATATATATATAACTTAGTTACTTAAGCATAAACCTAACCGTATTTAAAAAATGAAGATCTAAAGATAAAAAGTGAAGCTAATAGCTTAGCAACTTATGAGATTAAAAATTTTGAATTCTTATTAGCTATGAATATTTGGTATGACATATTGTTTGCTGTTAATTCAGTTAGTAAAATCTTACAATCTAAATATATGCATATTGATATTGCCATAGATAAATTAAAGAGTCTTATTGTATATTTAGAAAATTATAGACAAAATGCTTTTATGTCTGCTTTGAATTCAACTAAAGAACTTGCTAATGAAATGGACGTACAACCTATATTTCGTGAAAAACGTAAAATTCATAGAAAAAAATAATTTAATGAAAATGTTGGTAATGAAACAACATTTAACACTGAAGAAACTTTTCGTATTGAATATTTCTTATACATAGTTGATAAATCGCTTGGCTCAATTGAAAGTAGGTTTGAACAATTTAAAACGTATAAATTTTTTTTGGTTTTTTGTTTGATTTGAAAAAATTAAAAGCTTTAGATGACATTGAATTGAAAGCATATTGTATTAATCTCGAAAATACACTAAAACATGATGAACATTTAGATATTAATGGACTTGATTTGTTTTCAGAATTGAGAGTGCTTAGGGAAATTTTAAAAATGGAGATTAATAGTCCAATTGAAGTATTGAACTATATAAAGTGGTTAGATTCTTTTCCAAATACTTGTATTGCTTATCGTGTACTATTGACTATACGCGTAACAGTTGCTTCCGCTGAAAGAAGTTTTTCAACTTATTTTAGATCGACCATGTTACAAGATAGATTGAATGGTTTAGCAATATCATCTATCGAAAATAATATGTTAGAAAATATTGAATATAAAACTTTAATTAGTAATTTTGCAGCTCAAAAGGTAAGAAGAATGAGATAAAATCTATTATGAGTTGTATCACTTAGGTCTCATCTAATATTTCGCATTGAGCCCCAAAATTTCTAGGTACGGCCCTGAATATTGAAATGATAAAAGAGATAAAATGTTGTAAATAATGATATGGCTAAATATCATAAGCCTCCATTAACTTTGGACGACTATCAGAAACCCCCTTAACTTTCAAAATATTGAAACCTTTAACCTTGAGATTTTGTCACAAAAGCCCCCCAAATTAAGGGTTTTTTAAATAAAATCTTAAAACCCCCTAAATTGGGGGTTATTTTTAATATCATCTTACTGTTGGTTTTTTCTTTGTGGGGTGGGAGAGGAGAAAAGTTAAAAGGGGGTTTTGTGATAATACCTATACTTAAAAGGTTTTTTTATAATTTGAAAGTTAAGAAGGGTTCCTTATAATTGTCCAAAGTTAAAGAGTTTTTTTTTTAATATTTACCCTAATGATATTGGACCGTACACATTCTCTGGTTGATCAGTCAATGAACAAATGAATTAGTTTGGATGGAAATACAGGGCAATCAACATAATCCATATCAACATTTTGTACGTGCACAGAAAAGAAGATG